CTCCACAATAAAGCATGTAAAAGCTCCTACTAGAGGAGACGAAAAGCGGGCACAATTTCCCCTTTTATGATATACCATCAATAATTATGCCCCAAATAGGATAAAAAGCCCCCTGATTGATAACACGAGATGAGGTTGGGAAGCCCACCAGCGAATCCTTTTTACTTAATCTTAATTATCGGCCACGGGGGCCGCCGTCTTTAGTAATTCTGGCAAATGGGTTTTACAAATTGATTAACGCCGGGACGTTGTGAGATTGTATATCATTGTTATCAAGTTTCGGGGGTCATCGCTTGATGGAAGTATGCACGAAATGTAATCATCAAACTTCCGGGAAGGCTTCTTCGTCGGTACTTAAAAGTACGTGGTAAGCAGAAATACGTGACAAAAATGCACAAAACAGGTGTGGAACTAAAATAAATACCAATTTTGTAATATTTATCTTTGGCTTCTTGTTTAGTCTGGAAAATATGTTTTTTATGCAAAAATGTTTCCTCTTTAAGAACAGGTGTTAAACTAAAAAAATGCCCATATTGAAATGTTTATCTTAAGCTTTTTGTTTATTCCGGAAAAAATAATTTTCGTACAAAAATCTTTATCTTTACGCTAAGAGTGTTGATAAAACTTAAAATTTGCGGATATTTCACTGATTTGTTTGTTTGTTTTACTTCATTAGCCAGAAAATACATATTGCCTGAGGGCGTTTTGAATGATTCCTGGGGAAAACCCTAAACAAATGTTATACATCTATTTTTAAGCCATTAACATAAAACTCAGTCCAAATTACAACAAAAGTATCAAATAAGGTTACACAAATTACAGCTTGGTACAAAACCGCCAACCTTACTTACCTCTTTCTTTGCTCCTGGTCGAAGTACTAACAACTGCAAGCCTGTGGGAGTATATGAAGAAAGTATGTAATAATGTAGGATAGTGGAAGTACATTTGCGAAATAGCACAAGAACATTATATATGTATTAAGTCAAATGGAAGCAGTAGCCAACCTCACCGAACACCAACCAAACACAGACGAATTACCTCCCGACCTATTCCCAACCATGGGTTTGGGGGGGGGGGGTTCAGCAGTGTTCTGGCTATGTGGCTATGTGTGTCAGGGGCATAAAAACACCAGAAAGAAAGAAAAGAAAGTACTTACAGCCCTCCAGCAATGCGATGCCTGCTAGGATAAGGAACGGCACGCTCTTGTCGAAGAACTGGTACATGATACCACCAAACAACGGGCCGCCTGCATCAACAAAAGAATCACGATTGGATGTTGATAGTCTTGATGCCACGCGCTATCGGCTTGGTGTAATACCATGCTCTAACAGATTTTCAGACCGATTTTTAGAGAAATGCCGTACCAATATTGTAGTTAATGGACCCTACTTAGTGCCTACTAAAACAGAACCACATCTGGGTGTTGATAGTCTTTTATAGCACGTGCTATCGGATTTGTGTGATACTGTGCTCCAATAGATTTTCAGACTGATTTCTAGAGAGCTAGTTAATATTGTAGTTGATAAAACCTGCTTTGTTACTACATGAAAAATAGCACTTCCTGACTGATTTAGCCGGGACGATGAAAACTTCAGACGAAAGGCAAAACAACAAAGGCAACAGCAAATGCAGTGAAGTCACTCACACCCAATAACTCCTTGGCAGTTCCTTTGTTTAAGATTATTCAGTTATAAGGATCTTTTTAATCATGTGTTTATCAATAACCAATAGTCGAAATATAACATTCAAATATTCCATTTGATTTTTTTCCCATTTGAAATATCCCATTTGATTCTTGTTCGAGTGTAATTAGAGATGTACATTATTAATTGCATTAATTATCACAAAACAGGAGGACAGAATAGTACGATGTAAAATATTATTCGAGACCAAAAGTACACAAGGATCAGATTTTTAACGACCACTGTCGCCTTCATCAAACAAAAAAAACAAATCTTCATTCTAACAAACAAACAAACAAACAGACTATTCTGTATTTCTTGTGCAACTTTGGTTTGAAAACACGTTGATCAAAATGTTAGAAGAACATATTGAAGAAGAGCAAGTAACATGTATCGCTGTATAACTACGACTAACACAGCCACCAGATGGCAGGCATAAGTCAAGCTCTGAATTTTTCATTATGCCGCCGTTTGATACTAGTCTCATATCAGCAAAGTATCATAATGCCATCCTCTAAGCCAAGCCCACATTGTAAGAATCGATACCACCATTAACTGGATTTTCTACCAGTGACGCCATCTTTTAATGGGTTGCTATGATTGAAAATGGATTATGTAGTTCGTTCACCTTTGAAGTGGCCTTGCACTACTTTATCATATTTACACGTGCAGCAATATTAGAAGAACGAGAGAAAGAAAGGTCAACGGCATTCACTTTTGAAATATTTTTTCGGTATCATTTGCAACAAAAATGGATTCATCAAACAACCTGATACAGTGTATCGTTTCGAAGTGCGACGATGCTCAAGTTTCTATTGTAAGGCTACAGTACTTAGCCCTATATAGTGCAAAACAAATGATTTTACGGTTGACTTCTTCTGTGTTGGCGAAACTGTAGCTTGAGGGTTTGGGCAGGGAAGTTCCGTTGAAGGTACAGGCGAAATGACGCATGTAAATTCTGTACTACACATGGCTAGTGACCTACTCAATCACTCATCCGCAGCTAGCCCTCGACATAAACAACCTGTCAATACTGAGTTTCTAATGCTTTCTCCCAGTCGACTATCACCAGTGATTATGCTAGCTTATAATCTCATCCGTCAGCCCTGAAATTAACACAAATAGCCTCTCTCCACGACACTCATTACTATTCCGTTAGGAGATGATTATTAGGTATCCACTGTCTCCTGCAGGCCGACTCCTTTGTACTGTTGATCGATGTTGTTAACTCTGGTTTCCTTGGTGGCCTGGCCGATAAATCAATTAGAGAAGTGACAGAAACTAAAAGATTGCCGTCGCCTCCATCAGGAAATCGTTAGCAATTTTCTAATATCAATCTTTTCTGGACATCGGAAGGAGGCAACCAGATGCTATGGCAATGAGAAGCCCACGAGAAAGCTCCAAACCACGCTTAATATAGTTGAATAGCAAAGTTCTTTATACAACACCACTTATTTTACATGAGCCGACGTTTTGATGACCGTATAATATATATGTGACATTTGGGACCACTCCTTTAGCTATTTTTTTTTTAGTTAAAGATATATATCTTTATATATGCAACTACATAGTATTGTATCTCACTATGCTGTAAGAATATATATGTCAACCTCACCATATACACATGTGTGTTACTATTACGGAGACCTCATTGTTTGCAGTAACCCGTAGCATCAGTGCACAGTAAACTGGTCATAATTGTCCTGATGAAGATCTGTGCTGTTCAAACATTCACCACTTTCATCTAACATGTATCATACTTTCATAGATTAGAACATATTATCAGAGCAAAAAGGATGGATAAAATTTAAAAAAAAAACACATTGGTAAATGGGGGAAATACATGTGTAGCTGAAACGCTGAAAACATTGTAGAGAACACTTTTGTCTGTAAATAAAATATGTAACCATTATTCATTGTTTTCTGGTTTTATTTATCTTTTTTGTGCTCTACATGTCCCTTTAGTTATTAAGTTTTTCTGTGTGTGTGTGTATCTTATGTTTGTGAAAATTAATAAAAAGTATAAAATCATCCATGCATGCCCACTGTTGTATAAAAAGTACAATGTGTAGACTAGATATGAACTTATACGTCTTGCAAATAACAACAACAACAACGTTAACGTCATCATGATAACTGAATCTTTACTCACCGATGCAGCCCAGTGCGATCCCGCTCAGAGCTATCCCCATGGCCCTCCCTCTCTCTGCGTCATCCGGGTACCGGTCAGCCACCACCGCCATTCCTGCCAGCATTTGTGTTTTGATGTTAAATGCATCTTAGGCATTTTCAGGCAAAGAATATACATTCTGGATAAGGAAATATGTTTGATATTGACATTTACTGTCATTTTATGACAGATTTTTGTTTTATACTTGGATAGCACCAAAGCAAGCAACGCCTCTTTTCGTTTGGGTGCAAACAATAGATATCTGGAACTAGTCTGTATACGTAATACAAGCAACTGTTTTCTGTCAGGTACATCGCATTACTTTTTGCCTCACGTAAGTCAGACGAGTATTCTATATTAATTCAAGTTACTACATTGAAAAAAGAGTCTTGGAAATTGACAATAAAAATCAAAATCCAGCCCTAAAATCGTTTTGGGTGCCTCTAAACCAATAGGACCATCATGTTGAGTTGAGTTGAGTTGATGGACTTTTACGATGCAGCATCAAACAGTGGCCACACTCCCATGGTTGTCAGTAATATTGATAAAGCCGTCTCTAGTTAGTTACAAACAGGTGTCAGGCGGCTACTAATAAGTTGCCAGTCGGCTTCACATTTACATACAATTCATATCGGAGTGTTTCCTCAATTCCCTGTGTAATCTACGCTACATCAGTCAAGCATACATGCATATAATATAGAAGTCAGGAAAAAATGTACAGCCAAAGGACTCTAACTACAGAATGTAAAACACAGTTCTGATTAACATGCATTCAAACACAAATCATGACATGAGTTGACAAGTAGCTGCCCCCGTTGAGTACCAAGGGCAGCTCATGTTGTCACTTTGCAAGTAAAACGTATCTATGAAACGTGCATATTTGAATGCAACAGCACGGCCGCCTTCTGACGTTGATTGACCAACGATTAACCCCTGTTTGATTACAAACTGCAGTTGAATTACCCTTCCGGCATCGAAAGATATCAGTCACTGTGGATCCTGCAGATCACAGGATCATGATGTACATTCATCATCAAGCTACATCCTGTCACCGTGTACTTTTTGCCTTCGACAAGAAGGCTATGAAATCGTTTTGGCACTGTTTGGCAGATTATGCACGATAAATTTTGAAGGCATGGTCCGAGGTTCACGATTTTTGGCAGGCGGGTTGTCTTAGTAATGGGAATTGTCAAGGCTAAAAATGGGCTTCATGGGAGGTCCTTATTTTTCAATAATTTTATTCAAGAAATATGAAATAATTCAAGTACAAAGAAAGATAACATGGAAAACAATAAACTATATAAAAAACAAAGAAACGTTCAGTTGACAAAATATAAGAACCAAAAGTGACTAACATCAGTGTCAGCTGAACAAGTCATTAACAAACCACAAAAGCATTGATTCTTGGTTCAGATTAAAATAGTTGAACGATATCAAATGTAACGCAATTTAAATTATAAATGGTGGCACTGTCACCGTGTACTTACTACAGTCACTTTGTGAGGATGTTGGACACCCTCGAACAGCCCGTAATGAACATGTCACTTTGACTTTATATCACAAGCCTGACAATTTTACATTCGTTTTGAATGGGGCGTATCTGTATGTGTCACGCACGACCCAAGTATAAAGGCCAACTAGTTGTGTCCTTCCAAAGTGACCTTCTGTCCGAGACGGTCATCAGCGTTTTAAAACACGTATATATGTAGGGCAGTTGCCAATAATTCTATGTTTATCTATTGGGTAGACACAGACCATAACTAGTATAGTCAACGTTTCAGCAAAAACCTAGTATGAAAACCTAAGACAGAACATAAGAAACACGTTAGAGGAAGAATCCGGAGATCTCATACCTCCATTAAACACTTAGATCATGAAAAAATGGCAGATCCATTTGTGAAGACAACTGCCTACGTACTGAAACAACGTTACCCGCTTTCAATCTCTTCCTGCATCGAGCAAGGATAAAGATTTCTTCGACAGTCGTCAAAGAAATCATGTAACGAAAATACCAGGTACCAAGGAGGTCATGTAACGAAAAACATCGGTAAAAATTGCGAGCGGTACTAGATGTAGAAGTGATTAATTTCTCTGGGACAGACTGAACCCAATTATATCGATTACAACCTAACCTACACACACATACAGAGAGAGAGCGATAGAGAGAGAGAGAGAGGGAGAGAGAGAAAGAGACAGAGAGACAGAGAAAGAAACAGAGAGAAAGAGGGGGGTAGACGCACGTAGACGCACGTAGACGCCCAAAACATGTAGACGCACACACTGACTTACCAAAACAATACCTCAATTTTTCATGGAGCTAAATATCTCTTACCGGCAACGGATGAGCAGGCAGACCCGAATCATATCGATTACAACCTAACCCACACACACATACAGAGCTGAGAGAGAGAGAGAGACACTGCTCAAAAATCGGAATATCCGGACGTTTCCGGACCTGTACATGTCCCGTGAAACTTGGCGTGCCCGGGTGTGTCCGGGTGTGTGCAGGAAATGTCGGCCACGGCGTGTGCGGGTCTGTGATACCTCCGGACATGCCCGGACACCTGGTAATTAGTCGTGTGTACGGGAATATACGGGCCTGCACACGTCACACGTCGCAAGTACTGCCAAACAATAAGGGGTCACCATACATGTAGATCGTTTCGCAAATGCGTAAATTGAGAGGTGCACATGTGTTTTCAAAGCCGGTAAGAAGAACGGGCAAAATGCTGGTTAGAAAACAATATTATTTTCACTCCCGAAATCTACCTAAACATGAGTTCGTTCCATGAACCGAATTACTATCTAAAAACGTTGTAGGTAACAGGCAACGCAACACAAAGACAAGGCATCTAGATTGGATGGTAGAGGAAATCAGCGTTACATTAAAAGTTGGTGAATAGAATAAATGTTGTTTGGGGGCCGATGTCTGCTATAAACTCGCCCTCGCCAGAGTCTGGTTGACTTTTGGGCCACGCCAGGCTTATATAAACTCTGCTAAAGAATCTAGAAGGATATATAAAGCTTGGTATGAACAAGGATTTTATATGAACATGGAGCTTCAAGTAGGTTATGATATAACGTCCTTGGTATGAATGGGGTCTAAGTGTATCCCTGTATATATTTGTAACTATAACCCTTGCTATGAACAATGAGTAGATTTCTTTGTGTGGTCCATCGTCTCCCCGCATATATTAACGCCTCATTATACCGGCACCATATTGAATCTACAGTGGGCAAAAACAACAACACAATTACTGATCAGAATTTTACCAAACTTCGACCTTGACATATTTCACCTTTGGAAACATGGTCGTTTTCTTTGGTCATGAGAGGGACCGCTCTGGTGTTTTTTCAAATATCAGCCCACTTTAGTGTAAAAATAATTTTTTGGAAGAGGCAAAAGATGCACGGTTTACTTGTACATTGTTGTCAGATGTGTATTGTGGTGTCATGGTCAGAGACGAGACGGCGCCCATGTCTTATTTACCTTGTTTGTTTGTTTTTATATAAGAGAGGTTTAACTTCCTTGGTTATATTTAATTTTTATACTTTAAGAACACGAAGTTGAAAACATTACACGGGTAAACTGCAAATTATGTGTTGATGATAACATTCCAGACTATTTTATATCCTATGTTTTTTATTAGTGTGCGTGCAACTTTTACATAATAGACAAGCGGGACATTTCACAACTCTTTGTATATCATTATTCCTGCGGTGACCTGTAAACCAGACCAGCCAATTGCATGCATTTCTCTTTGTTGGGGTTTGAAAAGAGGGCCAATCAACGCTCGGGTCATTATTTTTGAAATCTTTCCGTTACATGCCTGGTTGTGAAGCGTGCATTGTACAACTATCCTGGACACAAGCAAGTTAACGCTAGGAACTTAGTGAGAGCATGGAGGTAGAAAAGGGTCCATGGTGAGAGATTGTGTCATATCTCATCATCAACACAGGAATATCGGTATTGCACCTTTCTACGTAAATTGGAGCAGTTTTCAAGACAAGAACGCCGTGGGACACTGGCAAGACGAACTGGGACAAGACTACTCTCCAAGCTGAGGTTGATTGGGAAGATTGTGAACGTCAGAGTATGCCTCGTTCTTTGGAAAGCCGGTAGCCAGGATCCTGGGAACCAGGCTGCGGGCATAGGCGAGTGATAGTCCTCGTGCAAGAGAGTATTAGACCGGACCAGAGGACCGATGTACACCCCTCCGGACTATACACTGTGTCCCGACTCAAGGCCGTGCTGTGGCACAAGATGTTCGGCCCGTGGGTCACCGCCTCAGCGAGGCTTGTTGCACAGCGCGGAATAAAGAGCTTGGGACGGCTTCTAACGACTGGTGCCCAGACGAGACTAATATCTGCTCCCGTGACTAGCTGCGTCAAGGCAAGACACAGAAGAACGAGACGTACAGTTTGTTTCA